TTTCATAGACAGGTGTAGGTAATTTAAAATATATTTCAACATCTAAAATTAACTTTGCAATTATAAACTACCTACCTACATTATTCTTCAAAATTCTTAATATAAATCATGTTCCTGAAAACACCACTAGATCAGTTCCAATTCTAATCAGTTTAGTTGCGTGAATCCATATTGTTCTCTCTGTTAAACATTTTCACAGGTATTGTTTAGATCTTCTACATCTTTTAACCATATTAATATCCCTATTCTTCCTGGTTCCATTGTAACAATGGCAAACTCACCGATTCTCGTTTCATACTTGTTCCCTAAAGTGATTCGATCATCTATGTAGGTCTAGCTCGAGGCTATTATTTCTATTACCAATGTTTCGTTTTAGTTGTTGTACTTATAAGTTATAAAAATCCCTAGCGCAGTTTTAAGAATTTTTCTTTTCACTATAGGTACTTTAGAACTAATCCTTTATCTGCTATTTATCTAGGTAGTATAGGATAGCATTACTATGAAATTAACAATAAACGTTTATTCCTGAAGACACAATATGCTTCACGTATCCATTTTTATATTTTCTTTCAAAAAAAATCAAATTATGGGTGAATTTTCCCGAAGGATATCGCCCGCAAAAGGAATAGAAGAATAAGAAGAAAACTAATCAAATTATAGGTTAGGTATGTCAAATTATCCCAAATTTCAGTTCTGTGATCCCACCGTAATTTGCCCAAATCGGCCAGCAGTGTTGCACTTCCGGTCTCCTTGGTGGAACGGTTTTTTAGTATGTTAAATATAGCTTATATCCTATCCAGTAAAATAATACAGATCAGTGGGGTGGCCGATAAGAGATTATTTAAAGTTTTTGACTTTTGACAACCAAAAATGAGCTGGATGCTTATTTACAAGCATTGATGGTTTGCAATAACGTCAAAGATAAGAGGCAAATAAATTCGGAATGACCTAAACCAAAATCTCACTTTTGCATGCATTATGATGTGCAAGAAGGCTTTTATCAATATTTTCCTACAAAATTACTATAGTAGCAGAGAAAAATATCTTAATGAAAAAAATGAACATAAAAATTATGTACGATTATATTTAAAATAAAGTATCCGACTGTTATCTATGGTATCCGAGTACCAAATTAAGTACAAGTTCTACTTCAAGATTTTATAAGAAAAACGTTCCCGATAAACACCCTGACTTTTATAGCGAAATATTAAATTGGACGGCAACTGAAAATGCAAACGATGGAAACAATGAATAGTTTTTTTTATTTTGTAATCTTCTTTGATTAATTTTAGAATACATAATAATAAAACCATGTCCCTTTTTCCTACGTTTTTATGTTCATTTCAGAAACATCACATGTCGCTCATTTTTAATCAACCATGATTTGAAACCGATTTATTTTTTTGCCTAAATAATTATTTTTTCTATACCCGAAATAGAGCAAGTTTTAAATGCAAAATATACAAAACTATTTTTTTACTTATTCTTAGTTTTTGAAAAATAATCTACAACAAATAACCTATTCAATTGTGGAAGAACGGGTTATTGATATTTGAGGGAAATTAGTGTTTTTAATAAATTCCCATGGTTTATTGGACCCAATCCACACCCATTAAAGGGATTTATGGACATAAAAAATTGGAGATCCATCGGCATTTGAGGGTGTAGATTCTTTAAATGCGGTTGCTGTGGGCTGTATTGTTTTTCACCCTTTTGAAGGCTACCAGTTTAAGTCTTTATGAAAAAGGTTTTACCCGGAGGGTTCACACTCCGGAGATCAACGGTTTCAACTAGACTCAACCGTGGGCTGGCTTACTTACAGCTGATTGTACATGGATGGATCTTTTTCTGGATGATAAGATGGTTATACTGTCAATGGAAACACCCTACTATCAGGTTTTTTATATTATAATGAAGGTTTCATGTGTGCACTGTGCCTGCTGATTTATTAAATTAAACATTCACTTTTAAACGAATGTTCTCAAGGTATTCTCAACATTATTTATACTTTTTTGCACAAAATGTTCTTGCACTATTTCAAAATTTTGTTACTTAAGCACTTACTGACTCGGCTTGGGTATTGACCATGAATACGTAAGGGCTACGTTCACAATTTAAATTTTTAGATTTCTTCTTTATAATAAAACAAGACTTAACTACACTCCTTTGTTTGTTATTAATATTACATTTTCTTTTTATTTTGTTCTTGATTTACATTTAATTATAAAATTTCATGGTCTAATATTTTTTTTATAATTTGGACTTAACTTAAAGTTAGACAGATAACTTCTCCCAATTTGGAGAGTGTTAAAGGTTTATTGTGTTTCAACATTAAACTTTAAACGTTAAATATGGGTGCGGATATGCACATTATTTTTTTAATTACACTTTTTTATCCTACTCTTTATGTAAAAGGTAGAAATTAGTATCTCAATATTTTTGCATACTATCTTGCGCAAGCGTTCTTCGCCTGGTACCAAGCTAACGACCGACCGTGCCACCTGTTGATGAATTTATTTTCTTTTTGGGTTCATGCATATGACTTATACATTATTTTAATTTCTTACCGTATTTAGTCGTTAGTTTATTTGATTATTAAATTCATCAAAAGTCATTAGGTAAATAATATATAAGATTGTTGTACTATTTAATTGGTTAATTTTTTATAAAGGAACGTAAGTTAAGGTTTATCTTTTATTTCTTTCCTCATTTACTGGGTTTGTGGAGAAATAGGAACATATTTTGGCCACTATATAGACCCAGTTGACGCCTATCATTTATCTACTATTTCCGGAATTTTTATTAGCGACTTCGAAGGCCCGAAGGTTGAAACCAGAACAACCGATACTTGTGTAACCGAAGTAGACAGGATTTTATTGATAAAGTTATTTTTTTAAACTTTAATTTTAAGTAATTTCCCGCAGGAAGTTGCTTAGAACTTTTGGTAGGTTACAATAGGAGACACAGTTAGTTAAAGAAATATAAAATGTATTCGATTATAAATGGTTGTTAATAGTCAAAACAAAAATCATTATTAAATCTGATATTCGGGTCTTTATATTTTGTCAACCACAGGTTTTATTTTTCTTTTCTATTTCATCTTCTTAAAACCGTTTAAAAAAGATCATCCTCAAAAAGTCTGCTCCATTCTGTCCAGGATACGGCCCTGCCTCCCTTTCTACACCATATTTTGTCGGGTAACAACGATAAGTGTCATGTTTAATTTCCATGGGAATTGAGGACGTGATTGGAAAATCCGATTTGAAAGGCTTTCGAATTTTACACGGGACTCTGCTCTCGATCATATCAATTAATTCAAATGAAGGGATAAATATGCATCTGGTTTAATAAAAATAACAAGCAGGAAAAGTTACATGACTTTTTAGTGATATAAGTCACAAAAATTTAATGTTTCAGTCTATGCTTAAACAGCAAAAATGTACCATTGTATCTACTGGAAATAAGTTACATTTGGAAATTATTTATTGAATTAAATGTAGTTGAATTTGAGATTATTTCAATAATTGTTACACTTAACTTTACACACAATTTTATCGAAAGCATTTTTTAAGTATAATTTGTTAGTGGTTAGTGATTTTCTATATTTTCATCACTAATGTAGAGTTAAGTGTATAAGCTTTAAATATAGTGGTGCCCAACTTCTTTTTCAAAGTTATTAGAATTATTTAAGAACCTAACCCACGCCCTATAAATTGAGCTCAAACACATACAGGGTGGACCAATCTTGTGGAAAAGATCTAGATCTTCCTTGTTGAAAGAGATATTAAAAAAGTGTATTAAGAAAATTATGGATATGTTTGAGGTTAACGTGTACGAACCAAAAATATGTTTTTTTTTTTAATGATAACACCAGTATATTATTTTAGATTCTGTTAACTCATCTTTTTTCCATTCTTCTAATACATGGTTTGTGTATGTTATATAGGATACTTTTCAAGGAATTGACATTTTTGTGAGAAAATCATACATAATTCAACGTCCAGCAGCCAATTACACACTGTAGAAAAAAAAATTTTTTACCCACACGAATTTTATAATATGATGTATTATACTTTTTTTTAGTTATATTTTTATTATCTGTTTATTTGTATACAGGGAGACTCGATACTCAGACCCTCTACGACTTTAACGGCTATGGAACTTCATCTTATCTTGGATGATTTGCGATCATTCGCGAGGAAAAGATCTTTGAACTTTGATGTTCCTGGTGCCTTAAGTGGTACTGACTATATTAGACTGACTGGTATAACTGCATCAAACTTCGAAAATCTTTTTCAATGCGTAAAAGGATCTATTAGAAACACAACTGCCAGAAGTTCTCAAACATGTCTTGCTATACTTTTGATGAAACTCAGAACTGGACTATCACACTCTATTCTTTTCACACTCTTCCAGATGCCACGGAGATACATAGGTAAAGCAATTAGCTCTGCAAGAAAAGCTGAAGATATTTTAGTCGTTGATAGAGCTTTTCGAGATTCTATTCCTACATTGGAAAAGTATGGGCTAATACCTAAAATGCCCTGTTTTTTAGAGAAAGAATCGCAACACAACATAGAAGCGGCTAATGAATCTCGCCTGATCATAAAAATACGATGGATTGTGAAGAATGTCAATAGAATGATCAAACAATGGAAAATGCTCGCTCAAGTGATGCCGAATACTCAAATCCCATTTATTGGAGATTACATGAGGATCATCTCAGCCATTTGTAATGCGTACAGACCTCCAAGAGCTGCAGCGAATTCTGGTGATGATGTTGTCATTGGCCAAAGAATTGAGTACAAAGATGAATAATGTCAAAGCAATGGTTAAGGACAATCGCTGGGCTACAAAACGGGTGATATTGGCGAGTTTCCACGTTTGACAATTGATGACTTGCAGAGAATCACGATTGAAGTATATCAGTTGAAACAGGCATCATCGTATGCCAGAGAACATTTGAATGATAAATGTAAATATATCCTGTATGTTCATAGGGAACAAGAAGATATTCTCCGTATTCTTTTACAGTCCAGACATACAACCTCTAAACAGTACCAACTTTGGATCAAATACGAGAAAGATAGTTTCGACCCAATTAGAGGGTGGTACTGTCAGTGCAAAAATGGGGCCAGGGTAGTAGGTTGTTGTACTCATATAGCATCTGTTCTTTGGTATTTAGGATATTACAGGCACTTAAATAATGTTCCCTACTACACTAGCGATGCATATAAAGACTTTTTAGTTGACGCAGCCGATTTCGAAGTTTCAGAGGAAGAAGTAAGTGATGGAGAAGAAAATCTCGAAGAACAAGAGGAAGAGAAATAAACGGTAGAATAAAAGGGTGAGAGGCAAGGGGACTCACGGTAAACAAGCACCCCAGTAAGAGGCAAGGGGACTCACGTTAAACAAGCACCCCAAAGAAACATATATCTGCCAGATCCACGTTCTTGTTCCCGGGTAACGCGAAGAGTAGATCATATTCCTGCATTCCCGTTTTGATAGAAATTGACTAAATATTGCTAGAACTGGTGAAAGAAACCATTTCCGGTTGCCTGAAAATAATTTGAGTCCATTGCTGGCGGGGCTAGGGGGTGCTTGTGACGGGCCTGGTGATCTGGGGTGACCCGTTTTGCCCAAAAATGATTCAATATTGCTAGATCTTGTAAAAGAAACAATTTCCGACTTATTTGCCTGGAAATAATTTAAATTATTTTTTCTGGGGGCTTGGGGGGTGTTTTTTAGGGGGGCTGGGGGTCTGGTGTGACCCGTTTCGCCCGAAAATGCCTCAATATTGCTAGAACTTGTGAAATAAACAATTTCCACCACATTTTCCCGAAATATTTTTTGGGCCAATTTCGGGGCTTAGGGACCCTCCTCTACGGTTTGTTCACCTATTAATGATTTATTAAAGAATAAGATAAAGGGACAGTCTATAGTATGGACACCAGAAGCTGATGCTGCATTTGTGGAGATCAAAAAGACGCTTACCACTAGCCCAATACTTGCAAGTCATCCACAAAAATTGTTCCTAAAGTAAAAATAAGTCATCTTCCATAAATCCTTTTGAACTTCAATGTGGGTAATTAATATCCATTTTTATTTTCTTGTGACCTTCACACACCGCAAATTAAATCCAGTCCACTCTGTATATCAAGCTGCTCATTCTTTGAGCGCTATTTTTATATTTCCGCGAATTACCTCTCAAACTCAATTTGAACGGTTTTCCCTTAATATTCTCTAACGAATACTTAACCGTTAACTACTCGAAAACTTTTTAGAAAATTTCAGAACAGTTTTGGCTCTTTAACAACCTCGCCGCCATCATTACATTCGGATTATTTGCTTGACTAATGAATGGACCCTACGGACTTACTTCGACTCCTTCACTACTTTTGCGAATGGCACTATTATTTGTTTTGTTTTCCTCGAGCTAGGTACTTAACTTTATGTCGAGTAGAAAAAGTTTTTCCAAGGATTTGATTGTATTCTGAATAGTAGAAGGAACAAAGTAGCGCTACTAAAAGAAAATTGTGAAAGGATTTGTTGTACGATCTTTGTTGGGAAGACTTTGATACTATTTTGTAAGATTGTAAAGTTAACACAACTTAATGAAAAAATAATGTGTTGTATACAAATTATATAAATAAGGAGCCTATTTCCAAAACTTTTTTAATACATTTTATATCAAAACTGAGATCCAGGCGGCACTACCTTCCTTTTTTAAACAGCTTTATGACAGCAACTAATTTTGGTACCAAAACTCGAGAAATCCACTGAAAAGTGACAAAACTTTTTTAATCCATGTTAAGCCAGTTAAGATCCTGTTGATTTTATTTCGTGAGATATTAACAGAGTTCTTGTCATGAATGTAACATGCACACATACTTTGATTTTCTTTAACTATACGGAAAATGGTCGCACTGCGCAGCTTTCTGAGTGCCTTTTAAAAGAAGATAGAAAACTCCGCCATTTTGAACCCTTATTAGGTGTTGCCTACATCTTGGCGCAATATTTTTAATAGGTGCGTTTTAATCATCCGCTTCTGCTTCGGAATTGTTGGTTTTCTTGTTTTAATCTGACAGGTTAAAACGACTAAACCGACAATATGGTTATAAATAGAGAATATTGCATAATTCCAACTTTGGAACAAATAACACATAAATTAAAAAATGCTAAAGTATTCAGCACACTGGATGCCATCCAGGGATTTTACCAAATCCCTTTGGATAATGAAAGTGCAGATTTATGTACATTTGGAACACCGTTTGGACGGTATAAGTTCTTGAGGTTACCTTATGGGTTAAGCTCAGCACCAGGGGTGTTCCAAACTAAGTTTAAGAAAATATTTAACATCTAGAGTGCTGATACTTATATAGATGATATTATAGTGTAAGGTAAGGATAAACGGGAGCATGATGAAAGGTTAAAACGCATCTTTGAAATAGCCAAAGAAAATAATGTAAAATTCAACTTAAAGAAATGTAAGTTTAGTCAAAGTTAAATTGCTTATATAGGTCATATAATTTCAAGAGACGGTATCTCACCACAAATAGCAAATAATTGGCTCTAATAATTACTTTGTTTTAAGGAATAACTTACGACATAGCATTTAGATGGGTTTAATAAGAGCCAATTTTTTACACACCATTCGTTAACCTTGTTTAAGTTAATTTGCATTTTTTCGGTGTCGGATACATTATTAATTTTGAAGTAAAGTTTAAGATCGTCTGCATAGAGTAAACTATTTACTTTTAGGTTCGCAATAATGTCGTTGATAAAAATAATAAAAAATAGTGGCCCCAACACTGAGCCTTGCAGTACAGCCAGCTGCAGTTTTGGTTGAAACGATGTTTTTTCTCGAGTTTCAGCAATTGCATCCCATTTGTAGCAGCCGCGGAAGATTCCTGGACGCAGACGCAGACGATTTTAATGACATTTCCATAACACAATCTCAAATGCCTTTATTACCTTTGGATACCTACAATCACCCAGGTTTAGAAACAATTTTAAGTTTCAGTTTTGATGGCCTATTGAGAAGTAATTATAAGCTATTAGTATACCAGTATCCCCAGACAAATTTTATTAAACTTAATTTAGATTTAAACAAAACTAATTGGTCCTTTTTATACCGAGCTGTCGATCTCGATATAATGGTGGATATGTTTTATAAATGCCTGTTTAAGACCATTGACTTATATGTTTCTAAAAGAAAAATAAAAAACCACACATATCCAAAATGGTATGACGGCCCTCTGAGAAGATTAATATCTGGAAAAAACAGAGCATAAAATGAATTTAAAAGGACTTGCTATGCTTTAGACTACAAAACATACTCCGACATTCGATGTGAGGTAAAATATCGCATTGACCTATATTACCTTACTCTTGTTAGCAATACAGAACATGTTTTTCCGGAAAATGTGAAATATTTTTGAATATTTATTATTAGTCCAAACATACAAAACATATGCCTTCTATCATAAAATACAACAATGATATTTTAATGATACCTTTATCTATTGCTGCTGCTGCTGCTGCTGCTTTTGCACATTTTGAGTCTTGCTACAGTAACTACAGCACTCTTGACTTAAACCACCTGAAAGCCGTTAAATTTGGTTCCCACCTGTTATTTCATATTTTTAAAGAAGTTGAAATAAAGAAGACAATTTTGGACCTCGATCCTTCCAAAGGTTCTGGTCAAGATGGAATACCACCTATCATTCTCAAGAAGTGCCCTGCTTTATCTGTACCTCTGTGCACAATTTCCAGAGATCATTCGACAGAAGATATGTTCCATCCAAATGGAAATATTCTAACTTGGTCCCAATTTTTAAATCCGGGGATATATCTGACATAAAATTATCGCGGCATTTCTATGCTATCAACAATTCCTAAGCTGTTGAAATCAATCCTAACAGATGAATTATTCTACACGTTTAAGAATTACATAATAGACGAGCAACATGGCTTCTACAGAGGTCGATCAACAACTACTAATCTAGCTATTTATCAGGAGTTTTTTACCTCTTCCGTTGAAGCTGGTTACCTAGTTGACACAATTAATACCTAAGGCGTTTGATAGTGTGTGTCAGCAGTTGCTTTTAAATAAACTATCTGAAATTGGTGTAATGTGCAATTACCTTAAGTGGATTAAATCTTATTAACCGTCAGCAGCGTGTTACAGTGAGTGGTTTTATGTCGCAAGAAGTGGCAGTGTCTTCGGGTGTACCTCAGGGTTCGCATATTGGCCTATTTTATTTTTATTGTTTATAAACGATGTAATGTCCTGTTTAAAAAATTCTCATTGTCTTTTATATGCTGACGATTTGAAATTTTAAGTATAAATTGACACATTTTAACAACTTATAACTCGAGAATTAAAAAAGATATCGAGATGCAGTTTTCACTAGACCTTCTACATTTACTTCAAGTTTTTCTTGACATTGTTGCCACATGTATTTTTTTTCTGGAAAGTGCCGAAAAAAAAAACGAACTTTTTTGAACCAAAACTGTGAGCTTATTTTAAATAGAACACCCTATAATTTTTAACATCCTCGGAAAGACCATTTCTTCCCCTTTCCAAAAATGTATACATTGTAAGCATTTACTTTATTTTTTAGGGAAACATTCACTTTTTTATGCAACCATGTCAATAACTTCCAATCGTAAAGTATCACAATTAATTAACATATAATTTAGGAGTAAGGCAATGTATTGATAAAAGGTTTTCACCAAAATTCTTGAAAATGTTTATATTTTTTTCTGACATAGTTGCCAAATCTTAAACTTGTAAAGTTTTCGTAAAAAAAAATTAAATTCAGATTAAGGTCTTATGGCGAATGAAACATTTCGTATCTGTCATAGTCATTAGATAGTTTATTTCTTCGCCTTTTAAAAAAAGTCAATTTTTTATAATTTTTTTATTGCTTTAATAGGTTTTAATTTTAAATAATTAAATCAATGTTAACGGTGTCTATTACATTTTGGTGGCACATATCGAAATATAAATTGACGTTTTACATCGAACGATCATTGATAAGATACTGTTTTTCATTGCCTTGTCCCTTAGGTATAAATTTCAGAATAATATCAAGTAATGATATTTTACTTATAAAGACAGAGGGGATCCCCTCATACCACACGGATTTTTGTGGCGTAAGTGGTGTCCCACCATGTTGGTACTTATCTGAATTTTTATTGAATACAAAAAATATGTACTAAAACATTAATAAATTAATTGTTGAATATGGCCTCCATTTTGTTCAATACATGTATGCAGATGCATTAAAAAATTTGTAAATGCATTTTGCAGCATTTCTGGGGTA